GCCGAGCGGTTGGTTGTTCACCCTCCCTCAGTGTTGTTATAAACAATTCAGTGGGCCAAGGCACGAGATCTGTATGACAGTCCTTTGCTTCAGAAAAGGCGATTACTGTAGGTTACAGAATGAAACAAAAGTGTGTTTTTAAGATACATGTCTCTCAGTTTGATGTACTGGATAAGAGTGGTAGACTCTAATCTGGAGAACTGGGTTTGATTCCCCACTCCTCCGCATGAAGCCAACTGGGTGACCTTGGGTCAGTCACAGCTCTCTCAGAGCTCTCTCAGACCCACCTACCTCACAGGGTGTCTGTTGCAGAGAGAGGAAGGGAAGGAGATTGTAAGCCGCTCTGAGACTCCGGGTGAAGGGCGGGGTATAAATCCAACTCTTCTTCTTTTGTAATTTAAGCAGCCTGTTTATCTCTGAGTTTTGCCAGCATATGGACTTTTTTTTTTTGCCACTGAAGATGTTTGAGAACAGCCTCAGGACATCACTGTTAAGCTCTTAGAAGTCAAGAGGGATGCCTTCATTGCGCCAAATCTTTTCCTCCAAATGTGCATAATTAAACCTCAAATACAAAATTCCGTTAATGCCTTAACATTTTCCCCCAATCAGCGGCAACAATGACGGGCTCTTGGGAACTTGCCCAGTTGTGCTCATCCTAACACTTCCTGAAATTATCTCCCCCGCCTCCCGTGACACGTGCTCTCTCTTTGGAAATATCAAAATCTATAGTTGGTGGCATGCAAATGATTCAAACAGTTAATTTGCCCTGTAAAGATTATTTTCAGTTAGCAGCATCCAAAAAACATTTGCATTCCCCCCCCCTTTAATTTATTAACCAATGCAGTATTTACATTCCCTCCATTCATTTTATTCCAGATGGGGAAATTATATCTGCTGCCGCTGGAGCTGATTTTTAAAAATTCATTCTGTTGAACTCTGAGAAAATATCTGTGTGAATGTTAAAAATAAACTTCGATATGCCTAGCATTACATTCTATGTGCTTACGATCTTTGCCCCCCCCCAAAAAAACCCCATATTAAAGAATTTCTGTTTCCCGTCTAGGAATATATGTTTATTATTCCAGTTTCAAAAACCTGCAGCTGTTGTTTAAAAGAGCTTTAAAAGAGCCCATATTCTCATGGATTGGAGATGGCAGAGCTGCGATCAGGCAGTTTTTCCAATCCCAGTGTGCCGATCCCAGTGTAAGAGATACTCAGGGAATAAAGCCACTAAAAGCTGAAATCGACTGTTGCCAGGGGTTGCTGGATTGTCATTGAATTAGCATCAGGAGCCACCTGCATCCTATAAGTACAAATCTGACCTGGTACAGATGTAGGTTCCCTACTGACCATAACTTGCCAGTTAGGAGGCCGCTTCCTTCTTTGCAGCAATCTCTTCTCTTCCTCCCCACAGTGGGCACTAAAGGGACCTGGATGCGAAGCGTGTGTGCGTTAAGTGCCGTCAGGTCGCTTCTGACTTCTGGCTACCCTGTGTCACGTAAAGTATGGAAGACGGCCAACAGAATAGGAACAGGCTTTGGCTGTTGTGCAGACCTGTTGTTTAAATAGGGAAAATTGTATAATATGTTTTTAAATATAGGAATAGTATGTTTTATTGCTGCAAGATTTCTTGCCCTGTAAGCCGCCCTGAGCCCTACGGGGGAGGGCGGGGTATAAATCTGATTAATAAATAATAAATAAATAAAATACTGGGGCCCTGTTATGTATCGTGTTATACGAATGGCCTGAATTGTAGAATGAGCCTGAGCTTCAGTCACAAGCTCCATAGACTCTCAGTACCCTGAAATCAACAGCCTGATTGGCTGCCGTTGTGCAATGGACCAATCAGGGAAGATTATGACTTTCGGCGGGAAAAAACCCTATTGGTCCTAAACACTCACTTATGATTGGACCTTACTGTTCTAGGGGTGTGGTGTAGCCAGTTCCAAACCATATATAAGTTGGGGTTGTTCTGTGTGTTCTGTGTGTTGTATTGTGTTCTGTTCCGATAAACTGAAATCACTGGTTGAAGAAAGAGCTGCCTGATCTCAAGTTACAACAGGCCCGAAAGCGACTGTGGTGCAACCTGACAAACTATTTTTTATTAGTTGCTGTAGATTTTCCTGGCTGTGTGGCCATGGTCTTGACATTGTAGGACCTGACATTTTGCCAGTAGCTGTGACTGGCATCCTCAGGGGTATAACACAGAAAGATGGAGTACTCTCTGTGTCAAGGTGAGAAGAAAATGGTAGGCAGGTATTTTATATCTATTCCAGGAGGTGGGGTAGGGCTGAGTTGTTATCTTGTAGGAGTTCCCCAGGCTATGAACATGCAAATGGAGGAACTTCCACCTTCCTGAGTAGATATAAATTACCTGCCTACCATTTTTCTTCTCACCTCGACACAGAGAGTACTCCATCTTTCTGTGTTATACCTCTGAGGATGCCAGTCACAGCTGCTGGTGAAACGTCAGGTCCTACAATGCCAAGACCACGGCCATACAGCCCGGAAAATCGACAGCAACTAATGAACTCCGGCCGTGAAAGCCTTTGATAACAATCTATTTTTCACCTGTCACAGGAATGTGAATGTCATACTTTCCAGGGAGATGTGCACTTTCCCCAGCTGCAGTTGAGTGGATCAAAAATTCAGATAGTAGTATTTAGTGTGACCATTTAATCTGTCTGTATACTCGTTGTATCAACTCAGTTACGTGTTTTATATTATTATGTGTTTCCTGTGTTGTTCTGAGCACAGGTAATCTTTGTCTTCCTTGCTCTTTATATGCGCTAAGATTTTTGAACAAAAGAACATAAGAGAAGCCAATGTTGGATCAGGCCCATCCAGTCCTTTGTACCACCACTTCCTGTGGCAGTGAATTCCATGTGTTAATCACCTCAGTCATCGTTTCTCCAAGCTAAAGAGCCCTAAGCGCTTTAACCTTTCTTCATAAGGAAAGTGTTCCAACCCTTTTATCATTCTAGTAGCCCTTTGCTGCACTTTCCCCAAAGCTATAATATCCTTTCTGAAGTGTAGTGACCAAAATTGCACACAGTATTCCAAATGAGATCGCACCATCAATTTATACAGGGGCATTATGATACTGGCTGATTTGTTTTCCATTCCCTTCCTAATAATTCCCAGCATAGCATCGGCCTTTTTTATTGCAGTCGCACACGGTTTCAACATTTTCAGTGAGTTATCTACTACGACTCCAAGATCTCTCTCTTGGTCAGTCTCCGCCAGTTCAGACCCCATCAACATGTATTTATAGTTAGGATTTTTTGCTCCAATGTGCATCACCTTGCACTTGGCCACATTGAACCCCATCTGCCACGTTGACACCCACTTGCCCATCCTTGGCAGATCCCTTTGGAGTGCCTCACAATCCTCCCTGGTTCTCACCACCCTGAATAATTTCGTGTCATCTGCAAAGTTAGCCAGTTCACTGCTTACTCCCAGCTCCAAATCATTAATGATTAATGATTTTGCCTTCAGTTCTTCCTTTGCAGAGGTGAGCTTATGAGATATTGTGCATATCTCACTCCCAATTTCAACTTCATTTCTATGGCCTGTGTCTTGGTTGGTTTCATTTATTTCATGTTCTTCATGTTTTTCCTTGCTTATTTTTAGTCTTATTGTTATTTACTACACTTATGTACCCTGCTTTTCTCCCCAGCGGGGAGTGGCTTACAACATTCTCCCCGTTCTCAATTTTATGCTCACAACGACCCTGTGAAGTAGGTTAGGCTGAGAATGCGTGACTGGTCCAAGGGCACCTGGCAGGCTTCCATGGCACGAGTGGGGATCTGAACCCATATCTCACAGATTCTGACTGGAACTCTAACCACTGCACCATTGTGGCTGTCATAACCACGGTAACCTTGGGAGCCTGGTTAACATTTACCCTGGTTAATATCCATGTAATGCTAAACCATAGTTATTGCTGACAAGAAGGGACACATTTGCTCTAGTGGGGGAAGAAAGGGAACCGGTTCCAGAGGTGGCTCTCAATTTGCAAACCATGGTTTTCAGGGAGTCAGTGTAGCGTCTGCACCAGATCTGTGTACATGACTTTAAATCTTGTTGGAAAACATGGGTAACGCAAGCCAGAAATTCTTGCTCACAGGAATAGTCCGCAGTGTACAAGAACCTGTCAGAGGGGAGCGGCCCTGTAGTGTCTCTTGTTGGGGGAGTTGTATGGGCAAACCCCAACATCGAGCAGCACCTTAACGACCAACAACGTCTATTTCAGTACACGTTGTCATAAGTCACAGCCCAGTTTATCAGAGAGATATGCAACAGAATTCTTCTTCCCATCCACGCCCAAATGCCGTCAGTGTTTCCGAACGAATAGCTCAGCTTGTGATCTGCTGGTAGACTCCATGCGTCACAGACTCCTGGGGGCACAGGCAAAGAATCGTGCTCAACAGAAAAGCCAGAATGGGGCTTTGTTTGTAGAAATCTGTCTCTTAGCACTTGGATCACCCTGGCTGGATTGTTGCTGTTTATTACTTTATCTAAAACGTTTATCAGCCGCCTTTCTTCCTTACGGAGCTCAAGGCGTCTTATGACATAGATAAAATATATAAAATACGTAAAAAAACATAAAACCAAAAATGTAAAATCACAATTTAGGACTGCTAGTAAACTTAACCGAATGCGGTCTTAAATAAAACCGTCTTCCGCTGCCTCCTAAAGATCGAAAGTGAGGGGGAGGGGGCACTTCTCCCTGGGGAGGTCGTTCCACAATCGTGGGGCCACCACAGAAAAGGCCCAGTCTCGTGTATTAGGATGTAAACGTAAGAACGGCTGAGAACACAGACCATGTCTGCTTTGCTGAAACCTTTTCCTATCCCTGGGGAGGTCGTTCCACAATCGTGGGGCTGCCACAGAAAAGGCCCAGTTTCGTGTATTAGGATGTAAACGTAAGAATGGTTGAGAAAGAACACAGAGCATGTCTGCTTTGCTGAAACTTTTTCCTATCCCTTCCCATATAGGGATGGATCTGATCTCTGTATCCTTAGAAGAAGACGGTGAAAGACCAACTTCTATCTGCCAAAGCAAAGTCTGCTCACATAGGTAAGAGGAGATGGGTATATACAAGAGAGGGAAAGCACAAGGTCTGGATTAATTTAAAGGGAGATTCTCTTGTGAATTTGTGTGTGTGTGGGGGGGAAAGGGCTGTCAAGTCACAGCCAACTTCTGGCAAACCCAGCAAGGGGCTTTCAAGGCAAGTGAGAAGCAGAGGTGGTTGGCCATGGCCCTCCTCTGCAGAGCCTTCCTTGATAGTCTCCCTTCCAAGTACCGACCCTGCTAAACTTCTGAAATCTGATGAGATCAGGGTAGACCACAGGGGTGGCCAAACTGTGGCTTGGGAGCCGTATGCGGCTCTTTCACACACATTGTGCGGCTCGTGGCAGGGCAGCCAGGGAAGCTAAATATCATTAGCAAACAAATGTCATTGGACAAATAAATACCAGGATTAGGATCTGCTTTTACCGCTTTTGTTATTATTTTTGGCAGTCTCATTTAATGTTAATAAGAGGCAAATCTGCATATTTTCCAATAAAAACATGGTAATACTTGTTAATGTCTTGTGGATCTCAAACATCTGACACTTATTCTATGTGGCTCTTCCGTCAAGCAAGTTTGTCCGCCCCTGGTATACCATGACACCTTCCTTCTCCTGTGAATTCTTCATTCAATTTAATTGTGAAAGCACCAGTGAAGTACTAGACCGGTGGTTCAGTAAAAATAGAACAGATACATATAAAACGTAGTTTCTGTGTTGCTCTGCAGTCGAACAGCTAGATTCAAGTCCCAGTAGCACCTTAGAGACCAGACACGATTTTTGGGATATGAGCTCTGAGAGACCGAAGCTTCCTTGAGCTTCGTATCCGATGAAGGGGGCTTTGACTCTTGACAGTTTACACTCTGGAAATCCTTGTCGGCCTCTGAGGTGCCACTGGACTGGAATCAAGCATATTAAAATGTTGCCTGTGCAAAATAAGCACGCAGGTGAAGGTTCCCTGTTGTTTTATGGGAATGTATTCATTTAATCAGGGGCTGTGGTGGCTTAGAGGTTAAGACGCTGAGCTGCAGACCGGAAGGCCGGTAGCTCGGCAGTTCGAGACCCGAGTGCGCTCGCGTCTGTGGCCCCAGCTCCTGCCAGCCTAGCAGTTCGAAAGCAAGAAATTCCAAGTAGATAAATAGGTACCACTTCGGTGGGAAGGGAACAGCGTTCGGTGCGTGTACTTCAGAGCTGTGCACAGCTGGAATCCTGTGCCTCGTCTCACGCAATGACTTCCCTGTGATCCCTGACAGGCCTGTAGGTACTGTGGAGCGCAGGGGGAGAAGAAGCCAAGGCTCAGTTTGGGGCCCCTGGAAGAAACGTCAGGGAGCCGGGCCCTGTGGGTCCCACATTAGCTATGGGCCTGCTACCAGGCCTTCTCTGGCTCAGTGTGAAGGGGCTTTCTTGGCTATAACCTCCCTGCAGTTCCTTCATTGGACTAGACCTGGGTGGGGTACACATGAGAATGTGCCCCCCCTGTATTCCTCTGGCCTAGGGTTGCCAATCTCCAGGTGGCACCTGGAGATCTCTTGCCATTACAACTGGTTGCCAGATGACCAAGATCAGTCCCCCTGGAGAACACGGCTGCTTTGGATGGGGGGGGACTCTATGGCGTTGTGCCCCGCTGAGGCCCCTCCCCTCCCCAAGCTCCACCCCCCAAATCTCCAGGAATTTCCCAGCCCAGAGCTGGCAACCCTCCTCTGGGCACCAGGTCCCCCTGGACACTGGTGGGGGGGGAATGGGGGGGTAGGGTTGCCACCCCCAAGCTGAGAAACTCCTGGAAATTTAGGGGTGGAGCCTGGGGAGGACGGGGACCGGGACCTCGGTGGGGTACAGTGCCACAGAGTCCCTCCTCCAAAGGATCCTTTTTCTCCGGGGGAACTGACCACTGCAGCCTGGAGATGAGCTGTAATTCCAGGGGGTCCACCTGGAGGCCAGTGTCCCTAGGAGGGGAGGGACTTCAGTGGGGTATAATAACGCCGTGGACGTCACCCTCCAAAGCAGTCATATTTTCCGGGGGAACTGATTGTTGCTGTCTGGAGATGAGCTATAATTCCATGGGGCCCACCAGGCCTTACCTGGAGACTGGCACCCCTGTAGACCAGATCAAGACCAGCCGCCGGCTCCAGTTCTGGAGAGACAGAGAGAGAGTCTTGTCCATCAGAAGTGAAAGCTGCTGCAATGATGAGTCCACAAACCTACACAAGCACAAGACCCGGCCCAGACCGGCAAACGCTGCCACAGGGAGCCAGATGCAGCTGCCTTCCTTTTAACCAGTGATGTTGCCGTTCGTATCCCTCGTTGCTTCTTTGGACTCGGGACAAATGCAAGCGGCGTTTGCTCCCCAGGGGATCGATACTTAGACTCTGTCCTCCTTTCTCACTCTATAAATTACCTGGCTGGTGGGACCAGCTGTACAGCACGAAAGGTAAATTTGTTCACGACAAAATAACAAAGACGCAGCTTTACAGCCGGGGTAGTATCTGGAGGTGGGGAGGAACTGAGCTTGTTTTTGTAAATGTGCTGACGTGCCAAATGAAACGTACAAATGCTGACAAATGTAAAGTCAGACTCAGGGAAAACGTGTGCAGGAGTGGAATAAATGGGCCCAGGCTGCTGCAGAAGGACTTTGAAAGGACCTTGGAGGGCCCCTGGATGTGCCTCGGAAAACGTGGAGATTGATCCTCCCAACTCTGAAAGGCTACCTGAGCCCTTCCAATCATCTTTTCGGTCGTGATGGCTTAACCCTTGTAGTGAATTTCCCCTCCCTCAACTGGAGGAGGTCCGTTTGATCTCGGGATCTCCCTGACACTTTAGACGGAAGAACTGCCAGTACTGACTGGTCGAGTCTGCATTTGTCTTTCCCACCAGCGTCCCAGCCATCTGACTCCATCTTAAAAAAAACTGTCTACATTTGCTTTCGTTTTCACACCTGAACAGAGCTAGCATACTGTTGCTTGTCCGCATATGTTTATCGACCCTATGTGGTGGCTCCACTGTCATTGCGCCTCTGCACTGCTTTAAAAGAACCTTCTCCAAAGAGCATTCAAACAAGCATCGGTCGAATCTGCATTTGCATTTTTAAATCAGTTTCGTGCTGCTGTGACACCGTCTTTCTCTATGCTTGTTTGAACATTGTTTGGAGAAGGTTCTTTTAAGGCAGTGGGGAGGCGCAATGACAGTGGAGCCACCATGAGAAGGTGATAAACATATGTGGACGTGCAAAAGTATGCTAGCATTGTTGAGGTGTGAAAACGAAAGCAAATGTAGGCAGCTTTTTTGAAGACGGAGTCAGAAGGCTGGGACACCGGTGGGAAAGACAAATGCAGATTCGACCATAGAGAAAGACGGCGTCACAGCAGCACGAAACTGATTTTAAAATGCAAATGCAGATTTGACCACCGTCCATGAATACGGCCAGTAGAAAAGGAGACCCCACAAAGATGCCTGCCGGGCTACTGGGGGTCTCCCACACAGATTTGTTTAATTCACCTTGAAAATGCTGAGAGCTTGACTGCCTCCTTAGAACCATAACAAGCAATATAGTAGTAGTATGAAAAGCCTATCTGGGAAAAAGGACCAGTGTCTCTAAAGGACGAAAGGGAATTTCCACACTCAAAAGCAACAAGCCTCTGAATACCTGGAGGCAACATCAGGGAAGGCCTTGAGCTTATGCCCTGTTTTTGGACCTCTAGGATAACTGGATGGCTCCAAGCTGAATGAGATCTCCAGTGACTCTGAGCCAGACAGGATGCTGGATGAGATGGACCACTGGTCTGATCCACTGAGCCTCTTCTTATGTTCTTATAAAGGGTAAAGGTAAAGGTTCCCTTGCTCGAAAGCCAGTCGAATCCGACTCTAGGGTTGCGGTGCTCATCCCGTTTCAAAGCCGAAGAGCCAGCACTGTCCGAAGACGTTTCCGTGGTCATGTGGCCGGCATGACCAAGGCGCACGGAACGCTGTTACCTTCCCACCAAAGTGGTACCTATTTATCTACTTGCAATTTCTTGCTTTCGAACTGCTAGGTTGGCAGGAGCTGGAACTAGAGATGGGAGCTCACTCCATCATGCGGCACCCGGGTCTCGAACTGCTGAACTACTGACCTTCCACAGCCTGCAGTTCAGCGTCTTAACCACTTGAGCCACCGCAGCTCAAGTTCTTATAGATGGCCTTTAAAGGGTATTAGACAGACTCATGGAGGGTAGGTCTATCAGTGGCTACCAGCTCTTGTGATAAAGGGAACCTTCATGTTCAGAAGTGGCCAACCTCTGAATCTCAGAGCCAGGGGGCAACATCTGGGGAAGGCCTCGGCCTCTCTGCCCTGTTGTTGGCCCTCCAGAGGAACCAGTTGGCCACTGCGTGAGACAGGATGCTGGGCCATATGGACCACTGGGCTGATCCAGCAGGGCTCTTCTAATGATATTGGATAACATTAACAGTAACGGTTTCCCTATCCCTTTTGTGATTCCCCCACCTCAATCTTTTTTTATTTATTTATTTTTGGTGCCTCTCTATGCTCTCAGAGATTCTCTTCCCAGTTATGGAAATCACATTTGTGAATAATCTTTTTGACTTTTCTGTTGTAAGTTTTTTACAAAATAAAAAAAACCTGTTCAGTAAATAAATAATTTTGTTATAGAAATTTAGAAAATAAAAGGAAGCATCTTTAAATCTGATCCTGGCAATGTGGGATTTGATTCAGAAAGAAAATGCCTTTTTTCAAAAGCTGCAACCTAACACAACTCTTGCAGAACAAGCTGGGTGTCCATAGATAGAGCTCTTTAAACACAGAAATAAATCCCGGGAGGCTGGTAACTGACAGGCCCACTATGCATTTTATAGTTCGCCTGCCATATAGGAAGGAGGAGGGGGAAAGGGATGTGAAGACCGAAACGCTTTCACTTTCCTAAATGCTTTGCAGTGCCAGACACTGTGTTGCAGAGACCTGTTGTTCTGCTTTATTTCTGTAGAGGGGTACGTACTTAGTGGGGGGTAGTTGACTGTTATT